AAGGAGTTTTTTTTTTTACCAGTTAAGTGATGCCTCAGTTTGAGTTACTCTTTTCAACAGAAGAGTGTGCTGTTCCTCCACAGGTTGGAAACTGTAAGAATTTAAATAAAATTTTCTCAACCTTATTAAAATATGTAGGGGCTTGGGTCTTCTTGGGTACAAATTAGTTTAGAGACTTAGAAGCACTTTATTAACAGTGAGGCTGCTGAGGTTTTTAATAATAAAATTATAAATACCCTATCTAATTGTAACTATATGACTTTTATACTTGGTTTTGAAGGGGAAAAATACTTTTTTTGTGAGGAAAAGTAACTCCGTCAGAGCACCTTCTGTGATTAGCGCTATTGTATTCTTAAATTTTGATTGATAGAGATAATAGTTTTCATTTAAAAATACAGACAGGTACTTTAACTTTCCATGACAATAGCTATTTGCATTTCTTTTATCTTTTTGTTTAACATCTGTGGGGGTTGGGATGGATTTGATTATTAACTCTTATTGCACACTAAAGGTAAATTTAAAACAAAGGCTTTGTTAGTGCTTCAAAGAGAAAACAGCAAATATTGTTTTTAGGTTTCAACATTTAAAGGCTGTTAAAGGATACTATAAAATATTTTCACGTGGCCATGCCCAGGGTTTTATATTCTGTAAGGTAGGAGGGTGTTTTTTTCTGAATGAAGTGTGGGCCATTGTGGACTTGATGGGGGGCTGCCAGCCTGAGGGATTCCCTGGTGATCCTCCCTGGGACTGCCTGTACCACATGGCTTACTTTATTTTTAGGATTTTATATTCTTAATAGATGGACCCCAAAGCTAGGTCCTATGATTCAATGAGGGTCCCAGAAGGGGAGGAGAAAGGAAGTCAGATATTCTTGCAGCAGTGGGAGAGGGTCTTGGGGAATGACGGGTCCAAAGTGGTGGATTTCCTTGTTAGCAAAAAATTGGAAACTGTCATAACTGTAAACCAGCAAGCCAGTGCCGTCTACAGGGGCCTCTGGTCCCAGAGGCCAGACCTGCATGGTTTCCTTTCCATTTTTTTTCTTTCCAATCTCCTTTCTCCTTTTTGCCCTGTTTTGCTCTCCCAGTTTCTTCTCCCTTTTTTTGCAAACCTGACTCAAAATGTAGCCTATTTCAAAGTTTTTAGAAGCAGAGCAAAAACACTTTGAGGTTGATTTCTGAGTGAATTTTCTTGAGTGCAGGAAATGAAGTGACCCTTGTATTATAATTTCAGCTTGTCCAATTTTTGTTGATATGCTTTTTTTCCAAGAAATCTTTGATAAACAATACATAAAAACCCACGTGAGTTAAGATTCACTAAAGAGACAATAGGCTCTTGGAAACTGGCCCATTAAGATCTGTTTTCTCTAATGAAGATTATGTCATTTGATTGGAGTATTTGGAAGTATGGGAAGTTTGAACCGTGTTTCTAGACTTCAGGAGAAGGGACTCTCCAGCATGAGAGTAACCACTATACTGCCACCTCTTCCTGGGCCAGGAGGTGGCTATGACCATCCCTACATCCCCAGTGACATGACACACAGTGGGTTCTCCAACATTCGTTGGACTGAGGTGATGACATATGTTGGCCATCCTTCAGTCACTTTTGTACAGTTGTGTAAAATGAAATATAATGCAGAAATTTTGATGTAGAAATCATTTCCTTGAGCTACCATGAAGGAGAGGGAGGGGGGGTATATACATTTAATGGGAAATAAAGTATATATTGTTCATTTGCCCTCTTGTGAGATGAAATCACACCACCACATTTACCTGTAACTTGGTTCCATGTTGGCCATACTATTAGCGCTATGTACTATTTATCACAGAGATTAAATTAGAGACCAATGTGCTTGTAGAAAGTGTTACACTGAAGCACTGTAGTAACCTGAGAGACTTAAAGAGTCCAGTTCCTAATTGTGAGAGGAGTTAGGAAGGTAGAGGAGTTGGAAGGCACATTAACTTTCCTAACCGCAGCTCTGCATTGATGTTTAGGTCAGGGTCCTTATGGTCATCAAATAGCTTCAGGTCAGTAACACTGTCGCAAACAATAGTGAAGGGGACACACACTGAACAAGTCTTGTGTTCACAGAATCTTAAGTGTAGGGAATAGCATAAAGGAAAATAAGTAATTTCTATTAACCATGCCCCTGGTTCACTTTTAAAACCTAAACCAACATGAAACTTAAGAAATATAGGAAAAGAAAAAAAATGCAATTCATATGCTGACAGAATTGTTTTAAGAAGACAAGTGGGCTGGAGGTGAATATTTTTCTTTCTTTCTTTTTTATTTGTTTTTTTTTTTAATCTTAAAAGCTTCACATAATCATTTAGTTTGAATTTTAGCAATCATACTGGCAGTAAGCATTCAGGTAAATATTTGGTAGATTTGATAAGAAAAACAATTGTTTAAAAAAACAGCAAATACAGTTTTGGAAACAGCAGTGTTATACTTTGGGGAAAATGAAATGTAGATTTTTCTCCTGGTTGTTGATTTTTGATTCTTCTGCACCCTAATTGTCTTGTCTAGTATATTGACTCATTTCACTTAATTTAGCCTGATGGTAAACAGCTGTTGAACTATTACTCTTTTCTCAGCAAAGCTAGAAAAAATATCTTTTCGAATATTTTATTTATTTTTAATTACATTTAATTACATTTTAGAGAGAGGAGAAGGTGGGGAAGGTGGGAAGGTGCGGGGAATCTTTTTTTCTTCCTCTCTTCCTCATACTGGTCAAGGCTAGAAAAATATCTTTTAGATTACTTTGCTAATATATACTAAACACTAAAATCAACAAAAAAATAAGTTAATAAGTGGTCAAATATGTGTACATATTAAAATTTATGAAACTTCAAAATGGAAGAAAAGATGGTTTGAATACCACTGCCAGTTTGTATATGTAAGTAAAAATTAAATGTAACCAGTTTTGTACTGCTTTAGTAATATAAGTTGGAAGGTGAAATATATAACTTTGTTATTATGAATCCCCCCAGGGAAAAATTGCACTTGTAATATCTGTGAGGTGAACCAGCTTATATTTTTCACTATCCGCTTATACTATATTGTGTAGAAAGGAGTAGAGAAGCAGACTCAGTACTTACCTGAAAATGTTCTGCAGGTTTGAGCACAGTGCTAGAAATAACTTTGTTTCTAGCACTGTAGGCAAAGTAGGCATTTTCAGCAGTTTTTTAAAATGAAATTTTAATAAGGTCCAGTTGTTTGCCAGGCCTCTATGCTAGCCATCTCATCTTCATTGCAAAGTCTAATATTATAGATCTGACTGCCAAACATGCAAAAATAGATGCAACTCAATAGATAAACACGAAAAGTAGTTTAGAGTACACTCACTAGAAGACATTTCAAGTAAAAGGAGGGAAAAGTGGGTCTTGCCTTGAATTGAGTGAGGTTTGTTAGAATTTGCTTCCTTTCCATTTAAGATGGGATGCAGGGTAGAGATGGAAATTTCGGTGTGTAGTTATCACTATGCCTCCTGTCTAACGAGCTCTTCTGATTTGTGTGGAGTGGGGCTGCTCTGCTGACCTGCACTTTCCCTGCAGGCCCTGACTATCACTGTTCTGTTTCCTTCCCACCATTTCCCTCTGACTGTTCTCACCATCTGAGAAACCAGTCCTGGGGACACACATCAGCAGTAAAGCACACAATTGTCATCTTCAATTTGAATTGTTTTGTGTAAAAACAAAAAGGTTTGGGGCAGGTTGCAAAATAGTAATTTTAAGCCCCAGAACTAGGGTTTTCCCCCACCCAAATGCTGAACATTTATGGTGAAAACCTCCAATTTCCTCTTAGAGTAAACATGAAAATTATGATTTCACTCAGAGCCTGCATTTCTTTCCAATCTTAATGGCAAGAATCTGCATACTCTTGCTTGTGGAAATGTCATAAATTGGCCTTGGATCAATTCCTTAAAGATAGTACACACCAAAGTGCCACTCTCAAATTTTCAGCCCTTGTGAAATGAGATTTAACTCTTCTCAGTGATATTTGCCTTTCCACATTAAAGGCCCACAGCAGAGGGATAAGCAGGGATATAGTCTGTATAAAATTAAAAGCACTTCATTACATATTGTTCTGAAGAGTGAGCAAATGGATATTAGCATTTCAGTAAAATGATATTATATAATTTCACCATCTTAAAAAATTAGATTAGCATGTGGTCAATGGATGTGGAATGAATCCTGTGCCTTGTTGCTAACTTGATCTAAATTAATAAACAAGTGTTTTTCTTTTCACTTGTGCCATATGTGGATCCCAGTTCCACGGGCAGAAAGAGGCAGCTTGTGGTGTTTCTTAAAGGATTACACACTGTTCAGCGTAAGGGAGGATACACAGGCAGGAGCGGATGAGGGAGAAAGAGTGTTTTAGAAAGCTTGATTTCAATTGTTTATTTCATCTGACATGGACCATTTTTATGTAACTTAATTAATCTTGTAGATATATGCTAAGAGGAAAACATTCTGAGAACAGCTTTCATCAACCCCTCTATAACCTGAAATTGTGGTGGTTTTATTCATTTTGAAATGTCCAGAATGGCATAAAGCATCTTGCCTACCAGAGCTAACTCTCTTTGGAAGGAGGAAAAAATAAGCCTCTGCTTTAATGAAAGTAGAGAGGTTGAGGATGTTAACCAAACAGACACATTCAAATAGCAGTCTGGTTTCCAAAAGCAAGGGCCTATGAGTCATGCATTATTCCATGTGAAAATAAATTGATAGACAGCAAATGAGAAAAAGTTATTACACAAAATTTGAAATGTTTCACCTCTGCTTTTTCCATCCAAGTTACTTTTGTTGTCTTGAAGATCTCAAACACATGTGGCCCAGATAAATGGAGATCTTGGGACTTGTTTTTATCAACTCTGAAAGTCACTTGCCAATAAATATAGTTGAGTCCCTTTGTTGTTTTTCTTGAATCTCTCTCAGGCAAAAGAGGTGGTTGCTACTTTCTCTTGACATTCAGATTTTGATGTTCTCTTTTGTTTTCAGGGTAAGAAGTGACCTTTTGAGAAGTGACTGTAACTGAAGATTGCTTTACAGAAGCCAAAAAAGGTAAATGCAAATATGATTAGTGGGATTATATGTAGGGTAGTAGCTGTTACCTTTTAGGCATTTAATTCAGTTCTCTTCTGATCTACATATTTATCAAGTATATGTGTATTTATTTGTGTGTGAGTATGTATGTAGCATATTTTGGGATGTCTTTAAAGAAAAAATTGCCCTTAAGAAAAGGTCCACAGAGTCACATTTTTCCTAAATATCAAACTTTTCCCTTTCGTTGAAGCTAAACTTTTTTGGAGAGTTGGGGTAGAGGGTGTTGAATTGTTAGGTTTAAAGTTACAGAGGAATCTTCACATCACAAAAATGGCGATTTCATAAAATGAACTTGCTACTAACAAGAGTTACGCATGTCAGTGTTCTGAGCTGAAGTGGTGTCATCCAGTTGATGTTCATATGGTGGCTTTATAATCACCTTCTTTCAGAAATTAATAGTCAGGCACCATAGCAACATGCTGCATTGATGTAACTGTTGAGCAGCGTGGGGCAGACCCCTGTGATGTCAGCAATAGGCTGCCTTGTTCTCCTGACCTTGCTTGAAAATCAAATGAGTACTTGATTTTAAAATTAGAAGTTTTCCAAAAGACTAGTGTTGCTTGATGAATTAAAGCTAAATGAATTTTCTCAAGTTCACACTTGGGAGGGGGAACAAAAAGCACTCTGGTTAAAGTGGTTATGGATGCTACATATTTTCTTGATTCCTAAAATATCTCAGTGACAGCAGTGCTCATCTTATACAAGTTAGTCTTGTAGGTCACTTTAACATCTTATATTTCTCAAGTAGCATCTTTATTTTATTTTCGAATTTTGACTAATAATAATTCCATTTGTGTCTGTTTTCAAACAGATTATTAGCTGGCCTGGTTGCACAAAGCCTTTGCTCATACCTTACTTACTACATTAAAGTTAGTGAACGTGAAAGATGCAGTCTCCTTACTCTTTAGTTGAATAGGTTTATTGTAGAGCTTTCATAATGTGAAGATTCTTACATCAGTTTATTTTAAACCTCACTCAGTGTTTTGGGTTCTAGAATGCATTATAAGTGTAATGATTTGTTTTTATACTTGCGCTTTGGCACATTTAATTTGTGCCAAAAAATCTAGCTTGCCTCATCTTTCCATTTTTGTAGTTTAAATTAAATCTTCATGGGAAGCACTTGATCGTCCAGCCTGGAAAGAGGTGATTCCAGCCAGCAGTGGGGTTATCAAGTCATAGCGTGACTTTTGGCAAAGCACTTCCCTTTGCTGAGACATAGTTTTCTAATCTTAAAAATGAAGGCTTAGCCTATTCCCGGGATCTGCAAATTTTGTCTGTAAAGGGCTGTACAGTAAATCTTTTCTTGTTTTGTGGGTCATTCAGTCTCTGCCACAACATCTCAGCTCAGCTGTAAGTTGTATTTCCTGGTCTCTGTGATCCCTGTGGATCTCACCTGAACGTGTTCCTCTGCAAAGCCGTGCAGGGTGTTTATCTCATCTCTGGATGTTAGTAAAGATTTCTTTCTGGTGCAGCTACAAATTATGATTAAACAAAGCTGAAAAAGTCGTGGAACAGATGAATACTCAGCCTGAGAGCTATGTTATCTCTACTGCTTCAAATAGGGCTTCATCAGTGGATTTTCATTGTTTTCTTTGGAATCATCGTGTAAGCGTGAATGATTTTCCTCTGACTTGATGTCTTTGTAATATCCATGCTTACATCCATGACCTGAAAATGGACACAGATGAATTGTACAATGTGATTTTTCCCAATTCTGTAATATTGTTCAGAGTTAAAAATATCATGACTCAAGGGCACATTTGGTTAAAAAAGTTTTTAAATTTGTCATTAGTGTTGACAAAGAGAGAAAATGCTCTCTTTTTAAAAAATTATTTTTAATTACAATTGACATTCAATATTATGTTACCAAAATGCTTCCTTTACAATTATTGTCAAAAACATAGTGTGTTATAGAATATCCTGAAAATAAAAATCACCTTTTCAAATTTTAGGAACATAATTTAGAAATGATCATAATTTAAGAACAAAATTTGGAAAAATTTTGTCCTTCTAATGCCTCCTTTTCTGACACAAAGCAAGCTGAGTAACAAATTCACATAATTTTTATTTTGACTTAACTGCTAGGAAGCTCAGAGTTTGTGCTCAATCACTGTAGTTTTTCAAACTCAACTTTTTGTTGTTGATACATTTTAAAATAAACTTAATTTTTCCTACCCCTAGTTAGCATTTCATTACTTTTTTTTCTTCTACAATATCAGTTTCATCTGTGTTTTGACTCTCATTTAAGTTTTATTTTTAGTAGTAAGGTATATAGACTAAATGATAAATTACATGTAATTTTTTTACCTTTTAACAAACTCAGTGATCCTTTAAAAACTAATCCCTGTATGTCTTAATCTCTTATATGTAAAGGAAAAGAATTTAAACATATGAAATGAAACATACAAAATTGAGCCCTGGCTGGGTGCCTCAGTTGTCTGGAGAGCACTGTCCTGTGCACCAAAATGTTGTGGATTTGATCCCCAACAATGTTGTGGATCAGAATGTGTGTGAGAGGTAACCAGTGGATGTTTCTCTTTCACATCGATGTTTCTCTCTCTAAAAATCAGTAAACATATTCTTGGGTAAATATTAAAATATATATATTATATACACACAAATATATATATATACATAAATATATATTTAGATTATATATATAAAATCTAAAAAATATATGTAAACTGGATAGAATGGTTAGTGTTTCTTCCCAATGAATAAACCTTAAATAAAAACAAGATCGTGTTACCCAGTGATGGTTAAAAAACTATCTTTCACACTGCAAGAAGGTATAGATTTCATATGCCAGGAGCTTCTGAGTAACTTTAGAATCTGGGAATCATTAACAGTCAGCATAGATGCAAATAAATATGCCTTCATTGGCATTACGGGAACAACTGGTTATGTGCATAAAAGTGGTCAGGCAAATTCAGAAAACCAGATGAAGCTATTTTTTAAATTTAGTTACAAATAATCATAAATAATAGTCATCATACTTACTAGTGGTATAACAATTTTCTTCCAAGTAGATCTGAGCATTTAATAAAACAGGTCTGGTTGCCAGCATTCTGAGAGGTAGCTGGCAATTATTATAATCCCCACTTTACAAACTGGGAAAGTGGTCCCATAGATGATTAGCAACTTATCCAAGGCCATCTAGAATGTCAAGACCGGAGATAAAAAGGCAACTTTCTCTGGTCACAATTGCATTGATGTTATTCTATCATGAGGGTCCTGATTTGGTTATTCAGTAATGTTTTGTGTATCAGTTTCTCCCTGCTTTCCCCACGATTGACAATTCACCCACGTGCATTTTTGCTTCAAATTGAAATTCAAATTGTAAAATTCACTATCTTGTATTCATTTTGGAATGGCACAAGGAGTTAATGATAATAGTCAAGGATCCTATAGATTACAACTAAATGGTTAATTTTCAATATGAGGCATGTTCACTCCTCACATTTCATCTGTTCATTTTTTAATAGTTAACTTATCTGAAAGTTAAACAATCTAAAAGAATGTGTAATCATTGCAGTTTTCTCCCACCTCCAATTTGAGCTATATATTTTTGTTAGATCAAGGAGTTATATAATGCATCCTTATAGACTCTACTCATTGTGTCTTGCATATTATAAATTACTTCTTGGTTGTAAAAAAGCTAGAATTGCCCAATCGGCCACTTAAAATATATTCACTGGTTCTTTGGAAAGTGTGTTATATATGTGATGTAAATACTTACATAATGAAAATATTCTGAGTTAAATTAATTCAAAATGACCTCTTTATAATATTCAACATTTGGATTATGTGACTATTAATTCATGTAGTTGTTATGAAGACACTGTAAGAGAATGTCTTCACTGAGTTGCCATTGGCAGAAATCAATAGTCAATTTAGTTAAGCGTTGAAATCCTTCCTGCTTCTCCTGACTCCTTCATGGCACACATGCACTTAGGCCTGGGTTGTAACAGCCAGGATAGAGACTAGGCTGGTGTAGCATACAGACTCCAACATACAATGGCTTAAATAAAATATAAATTTACTTCTCTTTCATGTAACAGTGCGGCCAGTCTAGTTTGACTGAGCAGTTTATCTCCCTCTTGTGCTCTCCTCCTTTGTGGTTTGTCGTTATCTACATGGTTGAAGCACAGTGAAGTCCAAACAGGTGATTTTCTTTGAAGTAAATGAGTTAAAAAGTGTACACATTATATCCATTGACATTTAATTGGTAAGAGTACAGTCACACAGTCATGAGAAGCTGCAATGGCTGCTGGGAAAATGTCTACCTGGGTGGCCACTAGTGTGGGAGAACTGGAGGACAGATTTAAGGGGACAGTTAGAACAGATCAACTTGATTGGTTGAATTGTCCCAATCCAATAATTTCATTCATTCATTCATTCATTCATTCATTCATTTGAATGTACATACTATACATACATACATACATTAGTTTCTATTGCAGATACTTATTGAATATGTGTTCCAGGTGCTGAGATCATAGCACTATGCAGGAAAGACCTGTCTCTGTCCTCAGTCCTCATAGGGTTTATATTGTAGAGAGGAAGACAGATATTATGAATGATGATGACAAATGTAAGGAAGTGCAGATATTGGTTGCTCTGAGAATGTGCTCTATAACAGGGAGACAGTGGTGTCAAGTTTTATGTATTTTAGCATTAAGTGGAAGCTATGTTGATTTAACTTGATTTTCTTGAATCTTTCATGCCAATGTTATGAATGTTATCAGGCATGTTAATTTTTTATAATAGCTTTATTGAGATACAATTCACACAAAATATAATTCACCCAGTTGAAGTGTGCAGTTCAGTGTTTTTTTAGTATATTCACAGAATTTGTAACCATCATCACAATTTAGCTTTAAAACATTTTAATACTCCAGAAAGAGACCCTGTATATACCAATTAGCAGTCACTCCCCCAACTTCCCTGGCAACTAC